ACTGACCCTCCGACAGTGCGGCGCTCCCTCAGCACTGACCGTCCCACAGCATCAGAGGTGCAGCCCTGATTTGCCATGAGACAGTGACCATTTCTACTCTTTTGTGTTGATACAAATTATCCTGCAGACGCTGTGGAGGGTGAGTATCCTGGTCACTTCACAACAAAAGTCAACAAGAGCCCAAAATATTGTCTTGCAATTTATGGGTACTTGCTGTATGTGGTTACTGCATATTTAATTGCTTGTCTGGTGCTTTGACACACTGTCATTGTCCTTTTGGATCTAAGCCTGTTGGTGAAATAGGAGTCAAAGATCTCTTCCTTGTGGATACAGTTTATCGATGACACAGTCTCACATTTCACACCCACTCACTGCCTCCTGTTTCCCTTTTATATTTACTCAGTCACTTAATCAATTAACAGAAATTGCTGTAAAAGCTCAGCAGGTCTGGCAGTATCTATGAAGAAAAAATCAGAGTTAACGTTTCGGGTCCGGTGACCCTTCCTCAGAACTGATGGTAGCTAGGAAAACCTCGGTTTATATGCAGAAAATTGGGAAGAGGACGTGGTAGGGAGTAAATGATAGGATGGAACCCAAAGAGAGAGAAGAGCGGTTGGATAGATAAAGGAGTTGATAATGATCTGGCTAGGAGGGTGAATACCTGTTAATGGGGACTGTTAGTGATTAACAACAGGCAGTGGGTAATGGCAGGCTATGTGGTAACAAGGCCTGGTGTGTGGGGTCGGGGGCAAGGACATGGGAGAGTTTAGCCCCTAAAATTATTGAACTCGACATTGAGTCTGAAGGGCTGCAGGGTCCTCAAGCGGAAAATGAGGCGTTGTTCCTCCAGCTTGCGTTGACCTTCACTGGAACACTGCAGCAAGCCAGAGACAGATGTTGGCCAGGGAGCAGGGTGGTGCATTGAAGTGGCAGGCAACAGGTAGTTCAGGGTCTTTTTTGCGAGCAGAACGTAGATGTTCTGTGAAACAGTCGCCAAGTCTACGCTTCGTTTCCCCAATGTAGAGGAGACCACATTGTGAGCAGCGAATGCAGTAGACTAGATTCTGGGAAGTGCAGGTGAAGTGTTGCTTCACCTGGAAGGTATGTTTGGGCCCTTGGATACTGGGGAGGGAGGAGGTAAATGCGCAGGTGTTGCACCTTTGCCGGTTACAGGGGAAGGTGCCGTAGGTCTGTGGGGAGGTGTTGGGGGTGAAGGAAGTGTGGACCAGGGTGTACCGGAGGGAACGGTCCCTGCGGAAGGCGGACAAGGGAGGGGAGGGGAATATGTGTCTGGTGGTGGCATCTTGCTGGAGGTGGTGGAAATGGCATCTGATGATCTTCTGGATGTGGATGCTGGTGGGATGGTAGGTGAGGATAAGGGGAACCCTATCGTTGTTGCGGGAGGGAAGAGAAGGGGTGAGGGTGGAAGTGCGGGAGATGGGTCAGACCTGGTTGAGGGCCCTGTCGACAACGGAGGTGGGGAATCCTTAGTTGAGGAAGGCTCTCAGGTCTAAGTTGGCTTGATCTGAACATATGCAACGGAGACGGAAGAACTGAGAGAATGGGATGGAGTCTTTACAGGAAGTGAGGATGTATAGTCTGTGGGAGTCGGTCGGTTTATAGTGGATATTAGTGGCCATTCTATCCCCAGAAATGGAAACAGAGATGTCGAGGAAGGGAAGAGAGGAGCCAGAGATAGACCAGGTGAATGTGAGGGCAGGGTGGAATTTGGAAGCGAAATCGATGAACTTTTCCAATTCCGATGAGAGAAAGAAACAGCACCGATGATATTATTGATATATCGGAGAAAGAGTTGTGGGTGGGGGCCGGAATAGGACAGGAACAAGGAATGTTCCACGTACACACCATGAAGAGACAGAAATAACTAGGGCCCATGCAGGTACACATGGTCACCGCTCTTACCTGAAGAAAATGAGAGGAGTTGAAATAGAAGTTTTGAGGGTGAGGATGAGATCTTGGAGACGGCTCAGGTTTTTGCTCCAGGAAGAAGCGGAGAGCCCTAAGACCCTCCTGGTGGGGAGTGGATGTGTAAAGGGATTGCATGTCCATGATAAAGAGGAGTAAGGATGGGTCGCCAGACCTGAAACGTTAACTCTGATGTTTCCTTCATAGATGCTGCCAGACCTGCTGAGCTTTTCCAGTTCTATTCGGTTTCTATTTCATCAATTAACCCTAGTCACCATCGTAACCTTTTATATGATGACACTAATGGTACTATGTAAATGCAACTTGAACCCTTTGTGAATGATTCACTGTAACGAATTAATATCTGTTCCCTTCTCTTACAGCGCTGATGGAGAAAGGCAGTTTGATACAGAAAAAGGTGAGATTTACAAATAGGAGATTGGCAGTACAGCATGCAGACCTCTACGTATTTTGTTGAATTCTTGAGCCTTGTTTCTGAGAGCTGAGTGAAGGACTGTACTGCCTGGTGTGGGGAAGGGGACATTGCCAGACTGTCCCACCTATCAATGAGACCAGTTTTGATTTTATATTCTCCGTCACTGATGGTTGTCAGTAACCTGAGTACTTAGCAGTGGGAGTCCCTCCCTCAACCTCTCCACCTCCCTGTCTTGAGACGCTTCTCAAAATCTATCCCTTCGATCAAGCTGCTGTTCACCTGTAGGAGTGTCAGCAAACCCGGTTCAGTGTCGCGTCTATGAAGGTCTTTGGGGGCGACCTTAAGGTGCTATATAAATGCAAGTTGTGAACAATTTGGAAGAGAGCAATTTCTGTAACATCAGCATGCAAAAACATCTTGGATCCTGGGTCGTTTCTTGGGTTAATACTCAGGTGGAGTAAGGAGGGGGTGGAGGTCTGGAATTTGGGTTTTTATAAATTCATTTGCCAGCCAGGCCAGCATTTATTGCCCATCCCTAATTACCCAGAAGGCAGTTATGAGTAAACTGCATTGCTGTGGGTCTGGAGTCACATGTAGGCCAGACCAGGTAAGGATGGCAGTTTCCTTCCCTAAAGGACATTAGTGAACCAGATGGGTTTTTCCTGACAGTCAACTATGATCATTGTTAGATTCTTAATTCCATACTTTTTTTGTTAAGTTGAATTTAAATTCCACCATCTGCCGTGACAGGATTCGACCCTGGGTCATCGCTAGAACATTACCTGGGTCTCGGTGATAATACCACTAGGCCATCACCTCCCCTGATCTTCATTGTGATGGAGCCTGGTTTGTCTGAAATGCAAATGAAGATGGTGGCACTGGACCAGTAACTCAAAAGCCCAGGCTAATGATCTGGTGACAAGGGTTTAAATCCCACCGTAGCAGCTCATGGAATTGGCTTGATTTGATTTTTTGTAGTCACATGTACCGAAGTACAGTGAAAATCTTTGTTTTGCAAGCAGTGCAAACAAGGACACGCAGATCATAGAGTGCTTAGACAGAGTGAGATTTACAAGATTACAGCTGCACAGGAGGGGCATAAAAGCAAGGCTAACATTAGGAAGATGAACATTATTTGAAGTTAGAGAGGTCCATTCATCAGTCAAATAACAGCAGGGAAGAAGCTGTTCCTGAACCTGCTGGTACGTGTGTTCAGGTTTCTGTATCTTCTACCTGATGGAAGAGGGTGTAGGAGATCATTACCGGGTCTTTGATGATGTTGGCCACCTTTCCAAGTTGGCTTCCATGATGGTCCTTGGCTGTGCGCACCACCTTCTGTGGTTTCTTACGGTCCTGGGCAGAGCAGTTGCCGTACCAGGCCATTATGCACACAGACAGTATGCTTTCTATGGTGCCTCTGTAGACATTAGTGAGGGTCCCTATGGAGATGCCAAATTTCCTGAGCCGCCTGAGGAAGAAGAGGCGTTTTTATGCCGCCTTGACTGTTGCATCTACATGGGAATCCAGGACAGGTTGTTAGTTGTCGTCACTCCGAGGAACTGCGGTTTAATTGCACTTAATACATTTGGAATTTAGAGTTAATGGTGACTGCGACAGCTATCATCAATTGTTGTACAAACTGATCTGCTTCTCTCGGGAAGGGAACTGCCATCCTTACCCGGTCTGACCTACATGTGACTCCAGGCCCACAGTAATGGGGTTGACTCTGAACTGCCCTCTGGGATGACCCTGGCATACCACTCAGATCAAGGGGCGATTGGGGGTGGGCAGTAAATGAGGTTGGTGGAGGGGTGTGTGGGGATGGATGTGGAGGTGATGGTAGCATAGTGGTGATGTCTCTGGTGCATGAGTCCAGAGCCCTAGGTCAATATTTGAAAGCCACCACGGTAGGTGCTGAAATTTGAAATCCATTTGGAAACCATCACTGTCACCATGTTCCCACTGTTTCTAAAAAAGAAACCCTGTCTGGTTCACCAGCGTCCTTCCTCTGGGGACGGAAATCTGTCGTCCTTATCTGATCTTGCCTACACTTGACTCCAGGCCCACCATGACGTGGTTGACTCTTACCTGTATCAGGAATGGGCCACAAATTCTGGCCCTCACCAGCGATGCCCACATCCTGTGAAAGGGTGGGGGGAGATAAAAAGCTTTTTGTTTTTATGTCAATTTTACCAAATTAACGCAGAGTGGTAGTGCAGCTCTCGGCCTTATAAGGAAATGTGCTTGTCTCTTTGAAGGCATCCATGATGGAGGGGACCATGCAGCACTGGAAGGAGGTGGAATCGAGAGAGAGCAGCGAATCCCTGATCCCGGACCCAGATTCGGCACAGGCCCTGGGCCCTCCGAACACTGCAGCGGCGAGGCACGGTCAGGCCGTGGTGGCGACCACCTTGGTGGGCTCTGGCCCGAGCAAGCCAGACGTCCAGGGGGCGGCCGTGGAGTTGGGCAGGCCCCGTGGGCAGCTCGCCAACGTCCTGGAGGACCTGGGCCAGGACCCCGAGCGGCTGCTGGAGCACAGCGAGGATCTCCAACCGGGCGGGGGTGCGCGTCCACCACGCAGAGAGGAGTACGCCTACATCGTCACCAACAAGAAGTAAGAACGTGTGTTCCTCATCAGCGCGTCGATCGCTCGGTCATGTTTGCTCCCGTGTGTTAGGCCCGGTTTGGGACCTCTCGAAAAACTGGTGTTCTTTCACTGCTGCCCCCTTCCCTCAGACTGAAGCACCCCCCACAAAAAAAAAGGACATACCTCTGGCCCATTGAGGAGATAAATATTGGCCTCTTTCTCCTCGCTGACACATCCAGTGCAATGCCGAGGGGGTGCTTCAGTGTCTGAGGTACCTCTCATTTGAGTGAGATGTTACATCGAGATTCTCACTCGGGTGAATAGAAATGATTTCACAACCGCTGAATTGAAAAGGATAAGCTTCAGGTCTCCTGGCCATATTTATTCTCTGAAGCATAAATCTTCCTGCTTAAAGGGTTAGCAGATTATCCAGTCATTATTTTGTTGAAAGTGGGGACTTGCTGTGCGCAGATTGGTAGCTGCATTTTGGACGTTTGTAACACAGACTACATTTCGAAAATTCTCTATTGGCTCTAAGCCGTTATAGTTTCCTGAGGTTGCAAATGATGCTAAAGAATTAAGAAAAGGTTACAGCAAAGGCGACCATTCGGCCCATCTTGCCTAGCCCCACTGTCTTCCCCTTTTCCCCATTAGCCTACAAACCGTTTCTGCTCCAACGACGTTCCCTTTTTCGTTTCGAAAGCCACATGCCTCCACCACACCCAAGGGCAACACCTTCCAGCCAACAACCTGCTCGCTGTGTTTAAAAATGTTTTCTCAGCTTCAATGTATTCCCCGTCTCTGAGGTAGTGGAGTCATCACAAAGTTAAATGATTTAAAAGGCACACAGAACTCCCCCTAATTTCCCTGCTTTTTAGACCCAGTTTGACAGCATGTTCTCAACAAAAACATAGATTATAATAACAGGTAGACATTACGAACCTTCACAAAGAACTCTACCAGTTAAACTCTAACCCCTTATAAAACTCCCCCTAGACATACACACACCCACACACACACGCTGACACACACACACTGACACACACACACACACACACCCACACACACGTACACTCACAGGCAAACACACACACGCACAGGCACACACACACCACATATACAGACAAACACACACGCACAGGCACACACACACCACATATACAGGCAAACACACACACGCACAGGCACACACACACCACATATACAGGCAAACACACACGTGCACAGGCGCACGCACAGGCATACACACAGACAGACATACACACAGACACACACGCGCGTGCGCGGAGGGAGTGAATGTTTTGTGGATTTAGTGCCAATGAAGTGGGCTGCTTTGTCTTGTATGTACAGATTATTGATTGATTTATGGTCACATGTACCAGAGTACAGTGAAAAGCATTGTTTATGAGCAGTACAGGTAGATCATAGTAAGCAAGGATGTAAAGAACAGAAGTTGTAAAAAGATTTAGACAGAGACATACAGGTTACATTGCACAGGGTGTGCTCTAGGCAAGATCAACTTTAGCAAGATCAGCGTTATTTGAGGGAAGACAATCCATTCATCATTCTCATAACAGCCGAGAAGAAGCTGTTCCTGAACCTGATGATGCGTGTGTTCAGGCTTCTGCATCTATTGCCTGACAGAAGAGGTTGTAGGAGATCATAATCAGGGTGCCATGGGTCTTTGATGATGTTGGCAGCCTTTCTGCAGCAGCGAGCCATGTAAATAGAGTCCATGGATGGAAGGTTGGCTTCCGTGATGGTCTGGCCTGTGCACACCACCTTCTGTAGTTTCTTACGGTCCTGGGCAGAGCAGTTGCCATATCAGGCCGTTATGCACCCGGACAGTATGCTTTCAATAGTGCATCTGTAGAAGTGGGTGAATGTCCCTATGGACATGTCAAATTTCCTGAGCTGCCTGAGGAAGCGGAGACATTGTTGTGCCTTCTTGACCATCGCATCTAAGTGTGAAGTCAGGCCAGATTGTCAGTTATCATCACTCCAAGGAACTTGATGCTGTTTGGATTAGCGATGGGAAATGTGGAATTACAGGGATAGAGTCGGGGGGAGGAATGATGGGATGCTCTTCACCGGGTTAGTGCAGACATGATGGGATGAATGGCCTCTTTCTGCACTGCAGGGATTCTATGGATGGTGTCTCACTTCTTGAGTGTTGTTGGAACTGCACTCATCCAGACAGATGCGGAGCATTCCAATACACATCCATAATCAACCCCTCCCTCCACCACCGACGCTCGGTAGCAGCAGTGTGTACTATCTACAAGATGCACTGCAGAAATTCACCAAAGATCCTCAGACAGCACCTTCCAAACCCATGACCACTTCCATCTAGAAGGACAAGGGTAACAGATACATGGGAACACCACCCCCTGCAAGTTCCCCTCCGAGCCACTCACCATCCTGACTTGGAAATATCTCGCCGTTCCTTCACTGTCGCTGGGTCAAAATCCTGGAATTCCCTCCCTAATAGCATTGGGGGTCAACCCACAGCAGGTGGACTGCAGTGGTTCGAGAAGGCAGCTCACCACCACCTTCTCAAGGGGCAACTAGGGATGGGCAATAAGTGCTGGGCCCAGCCAGCGACACCTACATCCCCTGAATAAATTATAAACAAACTCCTGACTTGTGCCTTGCAGATGGTGGTCGGGCTTTGGGGAGGTAAGTTGTGAGCTGACCATTGCAGGATGGCCAATTTCTCCTCTGCTCTCGTCACCACTGGGTTTATGTGGTGAGTCCAGTTGAGTTTCTGGTCAATGGTAACCCCCAGGATGTTGACAGTGAGGGATACAGTGATGGTAACACCATTGAATGTCAAGGGGGATTCTCTCTTGTTACAGATGGTCATAGCCTGGCATTTGTATGGCACTAGTGTCCCTTGCCATTTGTCAGCCCAAATGTGAATAGTTTCCAGGTTGAACTCGCTGAGCAGTCTGGTTCAGTATCCCGCCCTAACTGTCTTGCTGAAATCCATCTGAGGCAGGGGGAGAGAGAGGTTGGGCAGTGTACAGCTGACCTAGGGAACCATATAGAGGCTCATTCTCTATCAGAATATCTCATCAGAGTTAATTTTCCTATTGCACTTGTGTGGTGACATGCAAATTAGTCTCCGTGTAACAAAGCAAACATGGCAGCGTTCCCTCTGCCACAGTTCCTTGTCTCTATGAGTTGGCGGGTTTTGGAAGTGAGGGAGTAGTCCCTGATCCTGACTGTCGGGTGAGTTTCCCCAAATCCTCTCTCCCTCCTTTCTGTTTCCGCGCCCAGGTCACTGTTTAACATTCCAGCCTCTACACCTGCATTTCTATAGAGCCTTGCCTGGCCAGTGAGATGTAATCACCATTAGGATGTAGGTGTTAATATACACACAGCAAGCTGCCACAACCAGCTTTATGATAATGACCGGATAATCATCTCTCTTGTGTTGTTGATTGTTATGTATGGTTTACATTTCAGGCCAATGATCTATCATTGGAATTACAAAGTATTTGGACACAAACAAACCGAACCGACACTGATGAGACGACCAAAACGCATAAAATAACGAGCAGCCAAATGAGCTGATTATTAAACTTTGACAGCGCAATGTCTCCACCACCTTATGGTGTTTATTATTGTGTCTAATTTCACCCTTCTCTCTTTTTTGCCCTTGTTGTCTTTCTCTTCCTCACTCACTTGCTCTTTCTCACTCTCTAACTCACTCTCGCCCTCTCACTCTCTCTCTCCTTCTCACTCTCACACTCTCTCTCACACACTCTCTCCCTCACACTGTCTCCTTCTCACACTCTCTCTCTCATACACTGTCTCCCTCTCATACCCTCGCCCTCACGCACCCTCGCCCTCACGCACCCTCGCCCTCACGCACCCTCGCCCTCACGCACCCTCGCCCTCACACACTCTCGCCCTCACGCTCTCTCGCCCTCACACACTTTCTGTCTCTCACACTGTTCTCTCACACTCTCTCATCTCTCACACTCTCTCTCCCTCTCACACTCCCTCCCTCTCACACTTGGTCTTGCTTGCTCTCTTTCTCGCTTGCTTTCTCTCTCTCTCTGTCTCTCTCTCAGGCCCCTGACTCTGTCCGATGGGATTAAGTTGCTGGAGTCCTTGGCTCACCAGCTACACCTCGCGACAGTCAGCTTCATCAACATCAGGCAAGTGTCCAAACTGTGCTGAGGGTAGTGGCAACGTTCGGGGAGTGAATGCCCAGGTAGCATTTAGACCACAGCCCTGCTCCAGCAGAGGAGGAGGGAAGGATTGCTTTTGGTCAGAAGGACATAGCGAAAGAATATTAAATAAATACAGAGCAGTAAAGGTGGTACTAGTGCAGAGGCTGTAAGTGTGCAGAAATCATTGACAGGCCAGGGCAGGTTGGCATAACAGGGGCATAAAGAGATTATTTTGAACTTGTCTCAAACACTGGAAGCATTGGGTTCAGTACTGAGCAGCACACTGTCGGAAAAGCGTTACAAAAATCATTCCAGAGATGAGGAACTTTAGTCATGCAGATAGAATGAGGGTCAGACCGCTCAGGAATGGTGTTAGGAAACACTTCTACACACAAAGGGTGGTAGAGGTTTGGAACTGTCTTCCACAAATGGTAGTGGATGCTGGATCAGTTGTTAATTTGAAATCTGAGAGAGATTCATTTTTGTTGAGCAACGGTGTTCAGGGATATGGGCCAAAGGCAGGTAGATGGAGTTAGGCCACAGATCAGCCCCTGAGCTCATTGAATGGCAGAACAGGCTCAAGGGGCTGAATGGTTGGAGAGGTTTTGGCTGCTCTCCTCGGAGATGAGAACGTTAAAAGAAGATTTAGTTCTCGGTATCCGAAATCACCAGGTGTCTAGACGTGGTCGGGAGGGAAAACCTGCTCCCATTGGTGGAAGGATTGAGAACCAGAGATCACCAGTTTAACGGTGATTATAAAATGAATCAATGGAGACGTGAGGGTAAACCTTTCGCCAAAACCAAGAGTGACAATGTTAAATGTGGCTTTCAAATGAGAATTAGGTCTGTCAGACTGATTCCTGGGATGGCAGGACTGACGTACGAGGAGAGACTGGATCAGTTCGGACTGTATTCACTGGGGTTTAGAAGAAGAGATAGAATTCTGACAGGACTAGACAGGGAAAACGCAGGAAGGATGTTCCCAATGACCGGAGTGTCCAGGACCAGGGGTCACAGTCTAAGGATCCAGGGTAGGCCATTTAGGACTGAGATGTGGAGAAATGTCTTCACCCAGAAAGCGGGGAGCCTGTGGAATTCTCTGCCACAGAAAGCAGTTGAGGCTAAAATATTGAATGTTTTTAAGAAGGAAGTTAGATATAGTTGTTAGGGCTAAAGAATAAGGAAGTGCACTTGCGATGCCAGAACACTGAAGGCTATGGGTCAAATGTTCAGAAATGGGATAAGAATAGTCGGGTGGCTGTTTTTGACAAACACGGAAGTGAAGGGCCAAAGTGCCTTAGTCTGTGCTGCAGATCTCAATGTCTCTGATACTGAAGGGACCAGAGGGTATGGGGAGAATGCAAACAGAGTACTGGGTTGGATAAAGAAGGCAAATGATATGTTGGCCTTCATTGCGAGAGATTTTGAGTACAGGAGCAGGGATGTGTT